TTTTCTACGTTTAGATTCACCTGCTTCAATCGTGCGTTGTTTTCAGGCCGCCGTGTCAACGCACTCCTATCCTGACAGCTGTTAGAAAAATCTCACCTTCTGTCGCTCACTAGACTGAATTGGCAGTCCGCATCGACGATTTTCAGAGAGAAACTTATTTTAGAATTATATTTTATTTCTAGCAGAAAAAAAAATGAAACATACCTTTCTGTTTGATTTTTCTGCTAGAAGCATACATATACCTACACGGCCGTTACGAATATATATATATATATATATTTTTTTTTTTTATTTTTTTTTAAGTGGAGCATGGTTGGTTGCTAGGGACAAAAAAAAAACACGCATACTTTTTGTGGGCATTACGCGCATGCGCCGGATAATACCATCTGGTTTTAATCCGTTTACATCCTGTTTTTCTTCGCCGTTATAAACGTATGCTGCAGAGCTGCTGGTGAGAAGCACGAACCGCAGTCTCTTCCGTTTTGTCTGAAATCGAAGGCTCAAGAAAAAGGCAGAAAAGTACTTCGGCCACTGCATTCCGTAAGTTGCCCCCAGAACCTAATATCAACCTGACCCAATGCTAAATTTAATCTTTGAACAAAGGCAACAGCGAGTGGAATAACAAATCGAATTCACCCTTTATAATATGCGATATAAACTAACAGTGGCGGGAAATAACCATTCCTGGGCTTAAACAGCAAGCTCCCGGGAGTAATATTTAGGGCCGTCCATCCCAAAATGATTTGCAGGCTTTCACGCCAAAAACGTATACGCAAGGCAGTACGTTCATTCTCCGCCCAAATGTTGCGCTAGCAGTTCGAACAAGATGGGAAAGGTTCGGAACAAACCGTTATGTATTAAAAAAATAATACATATGTACGTAATGTTTTGAAAATATTTTTGGAAAAATGGCGTTGTTTTTGCCCGTTTTCGGTAACTGGCGCCATTCACCTCCATGTATTCGAAAGCTCCATCGGTCGGCATTATCCCATTAAAATAAAAAAATAAAAACTTTTCAATGAAGTAACGATTCGTTCTAAAACTTCGGAATCTGGTTCGGACCGGCAGCGCTATATTTGGGAGGAGAATTAGCGTTCGCGATAGGCAGTAAAAAAATGCTTTATTTTTTTTTTTAGCGATCGGGACGATCAGAACACGGTGTGTCCCTAGCATCTTATTATCGCGTCGCAGCCGATCGCAGTACGGCATTAGCTGATACGGAGGCCGAAGAACCCATCACGGAGCTAACGTACTTGGCTCGTTCGATTTACGCGCACGTCCTGCACAGGTGCATAAAAGTGTCGAGCAGTGCTTACTTCCGATGAGTGTCTTGAGATATAACCGGAAGTACACTGCCACACTCTCTTCAGCACCGGTGCTTCAGATGCAGGTAAATCGAATGAGCCAAATGCGAAATTAACGAGGCACGCCCTGTAGGCCTTCAAGGCCCGACGTAGACCTGTCACTTTCCACTTTTTACCTTGCTCAAACACGGCTTCCCTCGCAGTTTAGGAGAAGGGCGCGCTAAGAGGATTTACTTACCTGCAGAAAGCCGAGGTTGTAGGGCGGCCTTTAAGTTGCCGGTGGCTACAGCTCATCTAACATGAGCGACTATTGCCAGGGACAGCAATTAAAGGGGTCGTGAGACGATATCGGGTTCGAATGTTCATGACTTCCCAGAGGCGTACTGGTCCTAGTCTCGCCCCTAGTATACTCGCACGGACTGCCACTGATTCGGAAGCTTCTTTGTCACGGGGTAAAATAGCGAGGATAAAAGGAGACAATTTCTTTCAATCTTGCCGTCGCAAAGCTTGATGTCGTAACAGTGGGACCGAAACTACCCACCTGACGACGGTCGAGCGCGGCTAATGGATTGGGCACGAAAACTTCGTGAGCACTCGACATTGACTTGCAACAATGAATGCCCAGGCGCACACTCGGGTAAAGGCTCGTGTCCAACCACTGCGGTGATGGGAATAGCCATAGCCTCCTCTATACTCACAAAGCCTGGCACTTGGATGACGGAGCCATAGAGTACCCGGTCGCAGATTTGGAGCGCGAGGATCTGGTAGAACAGAGCGTTTCTCGGGGAGTCTGGTATGCAGCGGACAGTTTTGGTTTTGCAGCGGCGAGGACCCAAAACATAGTTTTCCAACCCGACAAGAAAAGTAGCGGTAGCCAGAGAAACGCGAGAAGCACGAGCGGACATTCCATCACTCGGGACAAGTGTGATTCCGCGTCTTGCCGCAGTGGGGCGCCCGTTACAAGACCCTTGTCTGCCGCTCTACCTTTCCACTCTCGGCGGCCGCGTCTCGTGACGATCTGCCAGGCTTTGTCAGTATAGAGGAGGCTATGGAATAGCCCAACTTTAACAATGCCTGGAGCTCAGTACGCGCTTTCTACTTTGCAGACCCCAGCGCGTGGCTATGATTAACGTTGGCGGCATAGGATAGACACCAGGTCAGCTGGCCGTTTGTTCGGACTCCGAGTTGAGGGGATGAACGATGCTCATATTTATCGAATTTAATTTCCGACTGCCGTTGCTTGGACAGAAAACACAATAAGGAAAGCTTATTTCGTTATTATCGTTAGGGAATGATTCTGAATAGCATTTAGAAAAAGCAGACAAAATCGTTTCATGACCTCTTTAACGGCTTATGATATTCACGCTTCTTGGTTCGTTCTTCGGCATTCTTATCAGATAATGCGGGAACCTCATTAGCTACGAAATGATAATATGAGACTCGCGGGACTCGTCACGCCCTGCAACTTCTTAGACTTACTAGAGTTATGCGCATTTTTGGTATCTCGTAAACAACACGCTTTTATAGATTTGTATGCCTATATTTCATTACAAATTCTACTTTTGAAAGGGAAAAAAAAAGAACGCCTCGTGGCGTTTTTATTTTCACCAATTAAGTTCAGTGACAAAGTAAAAACAAAAAAATAAAAGAACCAGGATGTAATTTTAATAATTTCGGTTATATAGAAACAGTAAGTAAATTGAACGCCAAGATGTCATCCTTTTGTGTGTTTTATACTATATATAATTATATAGTATAAAAATCAATTAGACCCACAAATATACAAATTAAATCTATCTTTCCGCTTCATTAAAAAAAGTGAAAGCCGTTTACAAATCCCTGTAACGGCGAATTGGAGCGCAGCTCTTGAGGAGGAGTAGGGAAGGGTACTGAGGGGGGTCACGTCACCTGCGGGTAGTCACGTGACCCCGGGGGGTCACGTGATCTCGGGTGGGGGGGGGGGGGTCACGTGACCTCGGGGGGGGGGGGGGGGGGGTCACGTGATCTCGGGTGGGGGGGGGGGGTCACGTGACCTCGGGTGGGGGGGAATCACGTGACCTCGGGGGGGGGGGGTCACGTGACCTCGGGGGGGGGGGTCACGCGACCCCCCCCCCCCCCCCGGTTACGCCGACGCCGACGCCGACGCCGCTCAGGCTGGAAACGGGCCCCTAAGAGCTGCGCTCTAAAACTCAGGATCCCCGCTTTATTCCTGTGAGCAAACTACGTGCATATTAGCACCTCAATAATAATGGCCTGGTGCTCTCAAGTAGGTGACACCCGGTCATCGGTTTCGCCGTCGCTAGTTCCTTTCCAGTCGTTGAGCGAATAGAAACCTTGAGGTAACAAAGCGAGCATAAAGTAACGTATTTGAGAACACCCCCGATATCGCTTCCACAATGTGTTTCCGGAATAGCTGAAAGGTTCATTTCGGAAAAGCCGAGGACATGAGAAGAACCGATGACGAAATGTGGGAAAGGGAGGTAAAAAAGATGTCGAAGAAAGCGGACACAAGCGGACGAAGTCGCAGCGCGCGAACCTGCAGGGTCTCCTTCAACAACGCGGCTAGTGCTTCGCAGCACCGGTTACGTGGGCCACGAAAAATCGCAGGCGAATGTAGTGCTGCTGCACCGCCGTGACCAGGCGAACCTGAGCTCTTGGCCGCAGGAGCTGCGCTGTAAGCAGTGGTGCACTCAATACGAACGTGACACTTGTATCCACACGAACAAGCTTTTTTTCCGCAGAGACGATTAAATGTCATTAAGTTTAGAGCTCATATGTGCCGCGTCACGGGTATCTGCTATTCCCCCGAGACCGCGGATGGCCGCGGAGGATCTGTGAACGGTTCACGGGATATCCGCAGGATCGACTTGTTTCAAGTAAGGATTTCGGTCGCATGAATTAAGCTGCGGGCAGCCTGTCGTTTTAGAGCGTAACTCTTAGGCGCCCGTCTCCGGCTTGAGCGGTGTTTGCGTAACCGCGCGGTGCATTCTGGGAGATGTCCCATAATGCACCGCGAGGGACCTTCCTAATGTCAGTCGTGACGTCACGTGTGACGTCACGAGGGTCCCGCGCAGTGCATTTAGCATTATGGGACATTTCTTATAATGCAACGCGCGGGGAGGAAGGGGAGAAGGGGGAGGACGAGGGGAGGGGAGGACGGAGGAGGGGGAGGAAGAGAAGAGAGAAGAGGGGAGGAGAAGAGGAGGGGAGGGGCTTGAAGGATGAGGGGAGGAGGAGGTGAAGGAGGAGCAGGAGGGAGGAGCAGGAGAAAGAGGAGGGACGAGGGGAGGAGGTGTGTACCCTCCCCTCAGTACGCTTCCCTCCTCCTCCTCAGGAGCTGCGCTCTAACTGGGCGTACAGGGTGTTGTAAACGACTTTTATTTTTATTTTCTTAGTTTCGTTCAGAGAGTACGTGAAAGTCATAAACACCTGCCGGAACATAAAACTCTGCCCACTCAACTACATGGGACTCGGCCTCGTAAATGCTGACAGGTATTTCCTAAAACGCCATTGCTTCTCGCAGATTTTCGTCCTTGCTGAGCAATGACACTCGTTTTTCTTCGGAGATAAATATATAACGTGAAACAAACAAAACAACCTTACTGCATCCCAAGCTACCACCGCAACGAACGTCTATGAATTTTCACGGCGTTTTGGATTCTAATTATCTGTTCAAAAACTGATTTTCAGATCCATCGACGCAATGAATTCAGGACTAAGGGTTCTCAACCTGTCAATGCGTCGCATTGCTTCTTCCTCCAGAATGATAACAACCACTGCGAAACTGCAATGCCCAAAGTACGTGTTTTTTTGTTTTTTTTTTTAACGCAATTGTATTTACAAGTTTATTAACTATGAAATTGTGTGCCACCGTCCGTCGCGGCTTGATGGCCCAACCACTTATTGGTTGTTTGAAAGTCGGGGGAGGAGGATAGAATATGTGGCAAGAAAAAGTGGGCCGTGACGGACATCTGAAATGCACGTTAAGCTTGATAAACCAACGCTCCCTCGCCACATTTAGCGGACTGTAATCACGTGACGTCATCAGCGAAAGGACTTTCATGTGACGTCAGTAGCATGATGTTGTTACTTGACTCCTACCAGGCGTCGTTGAGTGAAGTTACTGATGCCAAAGGTCTATTGCACGCACTGTTCACACGAGCGGCACACGTATGACGGTCAATATATCATGATATGACGTAAAGACTGGTCGGGGGTTCTTCGTGTTTTCTCGCTTTTAGTTACATCTCCGAGGAGAACGAACCTGATATTCAGATTCACGAGATAAAAATACTCTAGAATTCACAACTAACTCTTTTTTTTTTCAAGAACCTCTCTATCTTCCCTTTATTCACGCTTTGGAGGCAAATGAGTGTCAATATCAGAGTCGCGTAGAATAGGCTAGAATTCACACCAAACTAATTTTCGATGACGTCACCTTTTTTTTATATATTTCTGGGTTTTTTGCGCGAACTTACCCTTTAAAAATAAAGGAATGACCTTACACGCCGATGTAAAACGTGGAATTGAGACACATTCTAGGTGGCTGACGCCATTCATCTCCGTCAATTAGTGGGCCTCGTCGGCCGCATTTACCTATTGAAAATTTCCGAGAATCAAACTCTTGAGAAAAATAACGGCAAGCTCTGAAAACTTGGCATCAAGTTTGGAGAGCAATACTCTTTTTACCATTACGATGGATCGCAGCGGATGTTACGAGCCATCGGAGACAGTCCAATGTCGTGTAAGTGTCACGTGATCTTGGAGGGAGGTGCAGTCTGGTACGAGAAGCATAGTTACCTGCTAGTTCACAGAGCTGGATTGGTTCGAATGGCTCCTAGCGTTCGCTGTGTTCGGTCGTAAGGTGAAACGAAGTATAGTGCTTCATTTGGACGGAGAGTCAGCGTTCGGCAGAACGTAGCCTATCTTCACAAAAAGCAAAATTGTAAAAAAAAGAAAATGTTTTTGGCTCGGGGGAAATTTTGTAGTTATACAAACTGACCTGCACACTCATGTTCTAAGACGATTGAAATATCTTTACAATTGAACGCACTCTTCAAATATTCTAGGTTGTACCATTTAAAACTACTAACTTATTTTTTCTTTCTTGTTAGCGTGCTCAAGGCTGGATATGGAGGCGATATCAATGGGCCACTGTCTTCACCATCTGACTTAAAAGCAATATCATATGCACGAGTCAAGAAGACACCGCTCGCCAAAGGCCCGGGGGGAGGCTTTAGGTCACTCGAAGAGACATCATGCAAGGAGGTAAAGATAGTAGTGACACCTTTATAACAGACAGCTTAATAGGTATGGTATCTGATCTGTTTTTATAGAGAAGTGAGCAGCAACGATAGAAGTAGAACGAGAAGTATTTTACCATCCCCAAGTACTATTCCAAGAACATTTGATTCCCGTAGATTTAGAGTTAAGACTTATATTTGTTTTGAGTGGAAAAAATAAACAGTGCATATATAAATAATTAAGCCAACATGTTACGACAATAAGTTGTTTAAAAAAGAAACACGAGCTTCAAATGTATATATAGACCAACACGCGACTCTGACGTCACGCCTCTGCGGTGGCGCTGCTGTCGGCATAGCGCATGCGCAGTTGCTTCGCCTCACGCGAATCCGGTTTCTGCGCACGCGCAGTGCCCACACCTGGTGTGGGCAATCGCGGGCTTGTTTGTAAACAGCGTGTCGGTCTATATATATATATATATATAAATACACTTTTCCCTATAACATAAGCCGCAGAATCATGAGAATAAAAAAGAGTCCTTTTATATATATATGAATATATATATAGGTAAAGTAGGGTAAATATAAAAACAATGGGCCGGGAAAAGTTAATAAGTCAAAGATGCGTACTGTCGGAGTTACTAATTCGAAGTTTATTACGACGTTTTGAGCGGGGTGCGCTCTTCATCAGGTAGCAAGGTGCAGAGCCCGCGAATGTTTATATACCCCTAAGAAGAAATTAGAGGGAGTAAAGTGCTGTAGGAAATGGAAACAGCGTTGACGAAAGAGATAGTTCACACAGAAAGGAAAGGGCACCAAAATTTGCAAATGCATAAAAAAAAATGGTTGGCAGAAAGAGATTATTCAAGCTCGCGAACGCAAAAAAAAAAAAAAAAAAAACGAGAAAAAAAAAAACGCGGTTGGTGGAGAGATTATCTACTCTCGCACAAAAAAAAAAGTGTTTGAAAGTTTCGGGTTGGGAAGGGGTGGCTCGTCTTCAAACCAGAAATAGGATACATGCGTCCACCGACGCGCCCACATCCCGAGACATTCCTTTGTGCTAGAAAATCGAAGTTTGAGGTGAATTAAGACTTTGGGGGATTTTTCCTTGAATAAGGAGTGGTAAGATGTGACAGCATATGCCTGCCTGAGATTAACCGCGTGACGACCGACGCGCGGTTAATCTCAGGAAGGCATAGAGTGTCACATCCTACCACTCCTTATTCAAGGAATAATCCCCCAAAGAGTTAATCCACCTCAAACTTCGATCTTCTAGCACAAAGGAATGTCTCGGGATGTGGGCGCGTCGGCGGTCACATGTATTTTTTTTTCTGGTTTGAAGACGAGACACGCCTTCCACCCCAAAAACTTTCAAACACTTTTTTTTTTTTGTGCGAGAGTAAATAATCTTTCCACCAACCGTTTTTTTTTTGTTTTTTTTTGCGCGCGAGAGTGAATAATTGTTTTCTGCCAACGGTCTTTTTTATGCATTTGTAAATTTTGGTGTCCTTTCCTTTCTATGTGAACTATCTGTTTTGTCCAACGCTGTTTCCACTTCCTACTGCACTTTGCTCCCTCTACTTTCTTCTTAGGGTATATAAATATTCGCGGGCTGCACACTTACTACATGATAAAGAGCGGTCCCCGCTCGAAACGTGGTAATAAACTTCGCATTAGTAACTCCGACAGTACGCATCTTTCACTTATATATATATATATATATATATATATATATATATATATATATATATATATATATATATATATATATATATATATATATATATATATATTAATGGGTGGTTTTATTTCAAATCGGGAGGGCGAAAAGGTTATAATTCCTTATTTCGGCCAAAAAAAAAAAAAAAAAATGTTTCGGGGGCATTTTTAAAATGAAGGAGTGCTTCACTGTTCCCCAGATTTTTTTGTTCTCGAGTTAGGAAGTGTAGAAGCCAGAGTGGCAGAAACTAGAATCTTTGCCTGCTGTCGCAGGTCGCATGTTCGACACCCTCTGCTGGCGCTGGTTTTTCTCCCTCCACTCTTCTACCTTTTTCCCCACATTTAGTACGTACCATAAAGCTTGATGTATTCAAATATTTTTAGGAATTTTATTGTTTTCTTAAGCAAAAGTCAACCTCGTCACTTAGGTCGATTTTCGGTGAACTTTGACAAGCCCTTACTTTGTCTGTACTTAAGGTAAATTTTCGTTCTTCAGCTCTACAGAAAGCCCAAAGCAAGCCCATTTTAGATAGAATAATACGATTATGATCTGTTAAGTAGCCGCTCCTCTACCTTCAGGTAAATGTTGTAAAAAATAACAAATGTTGAAAGTTTGAAGTCCATCTAAAAAAAAAAAAAATGGAAATTTTTATTGTTTTATTTTTTTGTATAATACTCGACTACAAGAAAAAATAATCTAAAATTGTAATATTTTGATGGTATGTCCTCTGTTTGAGCCGCAATCGCGTGACATCTGTGCTCATTTGACGAAGATAGAGCAAACTTACTGGCCTTTTCCGCTTCTACGATTTCGAAAATAAGTTTTTATTTTGTTTACGTTTTCAAAAAAGGAACACAAAGAAGGCGAACTTGTGATGTTCATTGTAATTTAAAACTTGAAATACGAGAGAAACCACATAAGCATACTACAAAACAATGAGTAACAAGTATATACATATCAAAAGTGAAAGAAACATGTAAACAAATCTCAATAATAATAATAATAATAATAATAATAATAATAATAATAATAATCGTTTATTTCTTTAGTGCCCCAGAAAAATCGTGTGGTTTTGAAGTGGTGGCACATACAGACACAAAAAAAGACTCAATAAGAGATTGTTCCAGGCATGGTACAGCAGCATGTCAAGATCATGGTTCAAAGTAAACGAGGGTGGCTACTCATTACCGAGTCTATATAACGATTGAACGATACGTTCTAACACCGTTCAAATCTTGCACATAAATCTTCGGAGTTCTGCTATACTCACATCTTGCTGATCGCCGACCGTTGACTGCACGGTTCGTGCACCTCAGTAATCCAGAAACACGCGCGCAGAACAAGTAAAAAATATCAAAATATCGATGGCACACTTTTCGAAGTCAGTGCATTTTTTTACTACTTCGACGTAACTGTGAGCTGTATATCAGTTTTCACACTGTGTAGGAGCCACGCAGTCTACAGTTGAAGTTTTACACATGCCGGCACGCACTCACTGATGACCTTATAAATTTCGGGGCAGAAAGTGGTACCGTTAATGCCTTGACACGTGCATGCAGCTACTATGTGCTTTTGCAAATCTATTCCAAGGCAACTTTCATGGTACCTTCCTCTAGTGTTTTCCTCCACACGTGTGAGGATCGGATGCCCCTTGGTGGGTTTACCTTCTCCCGCTATTTTTTCTTGGGCTCCCGAAAACTCGTGAGCTTTTCTTTGGCAATTGAGAGTAGTACAATCCCTTTGACTTTCGGTCAGAGTGCCTCAACGAATCTTTGGGCGTTCGTTATAGAGTACAATTCTGTAGTTGTCAAGTCATACATGAATGCCTGGTGCTGGAGCGCGCAACCCACTCCATCACACGAGCTTTTCCCGTGCCCTGATGCAGAGAATATCCACTTTGCGACGACATTCCTTTTCTTGAATTCGTGCACCTGGTGCCTGTGTTTGAAGTGGCTTGTAGCACCGTCTGAAATATAAACGAGTTGCGTGAAAATAGGCAATACTTCTTCTAGCCGCCCTTCGACGACATTGGGCTCAAAGAACGCATGGGACGAATCATGGACGATGTCGGCGCTCACTACGCCGAAGCTTCACGTTATCTCTTCGATCATATCCCCGCAGTTAAAGATAGAAACCATCTTGCTCTTCCAGGGACGTCCTTGCACCGCGCGCTGGATCACGACACTTCACTTTTCGGCAAAATCGAAGTACAAAATGAAGGCATGTTGACTTCACATGCACTTTCTCGAGCCATATGGCTTTTCGCTGGGTGCGTCTGATGAACTGGGGAAGGCATTTTTTTTTTGTCCATGCTTTTGAAACTCGTTAAAAAATGCCAGAAGATTTGTGTACAAAATTTGAATTGTGTCAGAATTTATCATTCAATCGTAATAGGCTGTATAATGCCTAGCCACCCTCGTTTACTTTGAACCATTCTATACAGAAACAATTTTTGACATCTTGCGAGGCCTTTTGAATTGTACATACTTGTAACTCGTCGTTTTGTAGTGTGCTTGTGTGGTTTCTCTCTTATTTCAAGATTTAAATTACAATGAGTATCACGATTTTGCCTTCTTTACGTACTTTTTGAAAACGTAAACATAAATAAAAGCATATTTTCGAAATCGTAGAGCCGTACAATGCCAGTAAGTTTGCTGTATTTTAGCAAAATGAGCACACATTTCACGCGATTGCGGCTCAACAAAGGGACATCAATCAAAATACTACACTTCTAGATTAGGTTTTCTTACTGTCGAGTATTGTATTAAAAATAATTAAAAAATTGAAATTTTACAAATATGGTGTTTTTGAGGAAATCTACCTCAAACTTTCAACATTTGTAATTTTTTACATCGTTTACGTGAAGGCACCGGAGCGGCTAGTCGACAGATCATAATGGTATTATTATATATACAATGGGCTTGCTGTGGGCTTGCTTTGGGCTATCTATAGAGCTAAAGAAAGAAAATTTACCTTAGGTATAGACAAAGTAAGGACCTGTCAAATCTGACCAAAACTCCACCTGAGTGACGAGTTTGACATTTTGTTTAGAAAATTATAAAATTTCTAAAAACATTTGAACATATCAAAGTATCTGCATAGTACCTATTAAATGAGGAAAAAAAGTTAAAATGGTGGAGTAAAAAAAGCAGCCCCCTCAGAGGGTGTCAAACACGCGACCTGCGCCGGCAGGCAAGAATACTAGTTCCTGCCACTCAAGCTTCTACGCTTCGTAACTCGAAAACCAAAAATCTGGGAAACATGCGGTTTGCGCCCCTCTTCATCTGAGAAATGCCTCAAAAACATATCCTTTTTTTCGTCAAAATTAAAAATTAGACCGATTGAGATGAAATCATCCACATGCATAATGTGCGTGTGTGTCTATGTTCACCTTTAGCTTGATTTCAAAGGTCCAGTAAAATTTCTACTGACACTTAAAAAAACCACAAACCATTTTAAACATTATATTGTTAATGGGACACTTTTTCCAACGCATGAATAAAATCACTCCAGCAAAAAACAAATAATTCATCCAAGCCGTTGCCCATTTCTCTCTTTTTTATCTTCAATATGCGAAAACTGCGGCACGATTTGTGCCCTCGATATGGGATTGCCATCACTAAGATTGTTGAAAAGAGTATTTGATTGAAATTAAAATTTAAATGCCCCAGTTTTGGTATTTACTGTAAGTACTTTTATGATGATGCTGAAGGTAGCCTAGACGACAGGCAGGCGAGGCGAGGTGCTTGTGCGCGCCTGGAGCGAGATGCTCGTGCGCGCCACTGCCTCGTCGTTGACTTCACCTTCCTAACAGTATTCATAGTAAATACAAGTTATAGAATATAAAATTTATACAAGTTTCAGTTTAAGAAGGAAGTACAAATACTAAAAGTATGCTAAACGTTCCCTTTAAAATACCGTCCGTCACGTAACGCATTACACATATTTTGAGCATCTAGGTTTATGCAGGTATGTGTAAGAGTAGTGCGCATGCTCAAAACGAGCTCACATTAATAGGCTGATAAGATGAGCAATATCGATGGTGTGAAACGCCCGTTGCAGAATAATTGTGGCAGCTCGCCATCAGCACGTGCTCAGCAGTCGCGCACACAGTTATCGCCGCCAGTGAATACTCCCTATCCGCCCTTTTTTGTTTGGCAACCAAATCGGTGGAGCCATCTATTGAGTAGCCCCTGTACACTTCCGATTCACGTATATTTGTAATTTTGTATTTACCAAATTATTTTATAAGAATGAATTAAGTCTGACAGTACTATAAGTGACCATATCCAGAAGCTAGCGTGTAAATTTGATTTCTCAAGTTAAGAACCGGATGTGGTTTGGGGCAGAGCCGCAGACGTGAGCCCGTTACTCCGAAAAAGTAAATAATTGCAATTACAATTACTTCTTCTAAAAAGTAAGAGATTACCATCACATATTACTTCCCGTAAAATTAATTGAATAATGACTTCGTTACTTTACTAGATTACTTTTACATTTCTCCAAGGATACAAGCAGAATGCATGTAATATCTACTGCGTGCTTGAGGTGAAATTTTGAGCCCCATCAAAAATAAAGCAGAGTCAGCACTATCTACCTAGTATTTTAGGTTAATAATCTTAGAAGGGAGAATCTATAATATTTTAAAGGACTTAGGTGTTTGAAATAATTGAATCTTGCCCTGTCCAACCTTGACAGAAGTAAATCCCATGAACACACGACGAAGGAACTTGTAGAGTGGAGGTACGCACACCATTCGAATTAATCCGAGTTTGGCATCGACTAACTTCGAAACACGATTCTTCTGAAGATGTGGTTTTCCTAGTTTTGCTGCATATTGCCTAAATATGGGCTGGCTTAACCATCAAAGCCAAGTGGCTGTGAGATTACGATGCCGTACTTCTGTTTCGGTACATTTCGAAGACTCAACCCAGCTTGATTAAGGTTGTTATCCGTTTGAATTACCAACTTGATATTCTTTCTTGATCACCAAACTTATCAGAGTCAACGATATATTACTGCAAAATCTTTTAGCGGAACTAATTTTGCCGTTTAGAAATTACTAAGAAAAAGCAAAACAATTTTCGGTGAACTGTAGGCCTCTATATCTTTCACGCGTTCACAGCCGTCTGACGCTGCCTCAACTCAAGTGTCCTAGTGAGCCACAGTTTCTTCTCAGAAACATCGGGCTGTTTGCGTTCCCTAAACTTTCGGTCTTAGCTTCAGCAGGCACAATCCGCTGACAAAAACCTAGAATTCTCGTTTTTAAGAATATGAATTCAGTTTCGAGGTTTCAAGCTCTTTTGTGTGTGCTCCCCAGCAGGCTTATCATTTGTTGTCGAAAGATACTTTTCAAACTGACAGCAGAGTTGGCTCCATTGTTTTTTCTCTTCGAATGAACTGCTGCCATAACACTTCTCATGTCTCTGCCTTACGCATCCGCTAGTACGGCGTCAAGTGACGGAAGCCGCATAACTGGTTGGTCAAGCCGGTATTTAGCTTTTACAGGGCTGTCCTGGATGAACAGGAGCGAGGTCTCATCAGAGCTTTTCCTGTTTGCGGGTTGGGCGTGTGTAAGCAAATACATCGACAAGCGAAGGACGGTGTTGTGTGATAACGACAAGATCAAGATTAAAAACAGCTACAATTATCTGTCCTAGCTCCTTCTAGCCTGGTGCCCTCCCATTTAGCGGAAAATTTAGCAAAAAGTGTCCCGCTAAGTTTAGCGGGAAAATTAAAATGGTGTTGAGGTCACGTGACGTCAATTTCCCCGCAAAATATAGCGGGGGAGTTTAACCCGCTAATTTTAGTGGGAATCTTTTCCGTTAAATTTAGCGCGAAAATGTCCCCGCTATATTTAACAGAGAAATTTTTTCTGCTAAAAGTAGCGGAAGAATTTTTCCACTAAATCTAGAGCGGGAATTTTTCCGCTAAATTTGAAAATTTCCTGGCTAAATATAGCTCGAAATTTTCCAGCAAATTCCCCTCCAAGTTTAGCGGAAACATTCCCCTGTTAATTTTATCGGAAAAAATTTCTCGCTAAATTTAGGGAAAAAATCACTAAACCCAGTGGGAAAATTTCTCCTAATGCCACGCGTGGTTGCGCCGACGCCGCTTAACCCGGAAACAGCGCCTAAAAGCTGCGCTCTAAAAAAAATAAAACACGTTGATTTTTCGGGGGAGTCGAGTTCAGGAGTGGTGGGGAAGAAACGAGAAGGGGAGATGGGGGGGGGGGGGGGGGGGGGTTGGAGGGCGCTGCTATATGCACCACGGTCACAGTGTCCATGGTCCTACTCCTCAAGAACCACACGCGGCGGTTTTGTGGGCTGTTAGCTTTCTGATGCCCTGTGAGCTTGAAGCAGACCGTTCGTTTTTCTAGAAGTCGGAGTTGTTGCCTTCATATAGACAGTCGAGTTCTCCCAGGCCGACTGACCGTACGAACGAGTCCAGAGGGAGTCCGGGCTGTTGTGCTTTCCGTGAATTAATTCCCTTTCCCTCGCCAAAGCTCTTCGCTAGCGAACTCCCGTCTTGTGCTACCATGCTTAAAGCGCGAAGGCCATTGCATCGCCCCGCCTCCACTCTATATCTGCCCTTGACATGACGTAAAAATTGTTAGGAATAATTTCAGTAATTCGTTACTAAAAAAGTATGGAACTACATTACAAATTACACTTTTAAGTAACTGATCAATTAATAAATTGCAAGAAAAGTAATTATTACAAGTAATCCCGTTACCTGTAAAGGATTACTCCTAAACCTGGAACTTGCGGGTTATCCCGTTACTTGAAACAGATTACTTCCAAGCCTTGAACCTGGGGGCTATTTGCAGACTGGCGCCCCCACGTTTAAACTCACGCGAGAAAGAGCGAATGGCTCTGCGCTAATGACATTACCGGTCATCAACACAGCGTCATATCCAGTGGCTTAATTGCGTGCGGTCACAAAAACTGTTGAGATTTGTGTAGACATATTTGTGATAATCATTGTGTTTTATAAAATGTAATGTTTTTGTTTGTACGAAAATGTATGTCAGCTCCCAAGCCCTAAGAATAAAACATACTGGGACAGAAAATAAATGCACTTATTGGGCGACTGACTGTGGTATAGATACAGTTTTTGACACCATAGGTGTGTCTGAGAACGATACATGAGCCGTACGGTTTGCATGCTTGGCCATAAAGGGCCACATTTATATTTGAATCAATGTATTACCTCTGTAATGTCGGTTTTTGTCTTCATTTATTTTATTCTAGATTTATTTAAGATGTGACAAAAATGAATAACATATTGACGCGTTCTTTTCTTTACAGCCAGGAACTAAGCGTTTCGGTTGACTCACATATGGGGTCCTGATCTTTTGTGTTCAACAGTACCATCTGTCAAGCACTCTAACAATTATTTTGGAAAGAAGGACGTTCCGGTGTTTTGGTTTGTGGGAGTAAAAAATAAAGGAGTCCTTTTTTGTCCTAGTTCGTTTTTCAATTCATAAAATGAAGTATCTCATTATTGCGTAACTTTCAGCTGATTCGTTTCAGAGATGCGAATGTTTCTTTCTTTTAAAGTTGTGGTGCATATCAATATGTGATGATTAAAAAAAAAACAAGTTGCAGGTATGCCTTGGTTCTAGCACCTGTTTGGCGAGGCAGCATCGTTTAGGTATCTTGCTTCAAAGTAAGGGTCTATACTTTGTCCATCAAGAGTGTGGCTGGTATTTGGTCAGCCGGAAAGCAATAAACGCAGTGAGTTAATTGGCTTCAATTGATCCGTTAATATTTATTGTTCATTAAAAATTAAAAATAATGATCTAATTTTAATAAAAATATTTCATCGCAGAATGGATCACAAAACACGCCGATACACGCTTCGTCAGGGGAGAAGTCATTTTGTCGTACTTTGAGTACCACGTGTATCTTGAAGGAGCAAGCGCTTATCTCCTTGCACATCTTGGATATTGTTGGCCAGACGTTGAACAGAAACGGAAATGTTTTATCTCAGTCTAAGGCTCTCAGTATATTGGCTGTTTATTCAAAACCGACGCTTAACTTAGTATAAAAGAAGTGAGAACATTGTGGAACGGATTTGGTGTTACGCTGCATTTCCAGGAAAACAAATAAATATAAAAATACGTCGTAGAATCCCCTTCAGTGCGCTTTTAAGAATGTGCTCCTTATCTAAGATCAAAACACTAAAAGTTTGGTGGTAGAAATAAATAATGTTTATTAAAATTTTGTGAACTGAATTATGAAAATCTTGGTTTAAACTACAAATTGTACATTGAAATACAATCTACGAGATTAAAGTCACCGCGCTTTAAATACAGTTCCTGCTGGAAGAATTAAAAAATATGTCACATTAAAATGCAATGGCTCTCTACAGTATTCATGTTTATTCAAGAAGAAAATATTTAACGCAATGATTTGTTGTAAATTATTTTGTGCTTCTTATGACTTTCTGTCCCTTAAAACCTTTATATTGATTAGTTACAAAAGTGGCCTTTATGAAGATTACTTGCCAAACAGGCAGTTAGAGCAAATACTTGATCACGAATGCGTAAGCAGGACAAAAAAAAAGAATACAATTTGAGACAAGCTACTAGAAGCTTTGACAGGGTAAACGCACTTTGTCGATAAAATTACTACTACCGTCACTCGGATTTGAATTTGGTGATTATATAAAAATTATTCGCTGCATCTAATGCATTTCCGAAACATTATACCCGCATTTTCATCTCTACTCTATTTTCTAGTTATTCATTTATGATGAGACTACTTGAAAAAAGTCAGTACGATTAATCGTTCCTTATCCCCGAATCAGGAGGTGTAACCATTGCAAGACACTTTTTATGTAGTTTCAAAACAAGAAATCGTAATCGAACCAGTGTAATATTTGATTCAAAAAGGTAAAAAGAATTGTAAAAATAGGTGGATATGTAATTGAAAACTAATAAACGCAAAACGCACTCCAGCAAGCCTGCCCTCAAGTAAGACAATTAAACCAAAAGGTGTTATCGAAACAATCGCAAGTGAAACTTTTAAACAATAAGAGAAAAAACGAATATAGTTATATCCACAGCGAAACATTAATAAAATACGTGTTATAATTACGTTAAAGACACAATTAAATATTTAAAATGGTGTTGATACCTAACTTCAACTGACTTTTAAATGACATATATCTAAAGACAACATTCAAACTTCCCATGTTTAAACTCGAAAGCAGGCGTTATTCGTAAGACATGTAAGCGACTTTACAGTACGCATACGTTGACGTTAAAAAAAAAATTAATGATACAAATGTATTCAGGAAGAGTCTTGGAAGGAACTGAGGTATGACAAAACGAACATAAAATTGTGCACTTTACTCGTATCTTTCAAACGAAGCATATTAACTTTAAAAAATTAAAGTGTTTTAGAAGCTACTGTCTCTAAGCGAAAGGTGATAATGAAACAGCCATCTGTGAGTTGCTAACTTTAACTTTATCACTTCTTTTCGGGCTTCTGAACCGCAGTGGTAAATGTATATAGCCTAGCACATTGTGGCATCATTTAAATGAAATGCGACTCTATAGAGTGCGAGACAGCTAGCTCAAATATCTAATCGCCGGGATTTCTGTATTTCTTGCAAAATAAGGGAGATGTTACGAAGCATGTGATAATGACCTTTCAAACAGTGCTTGAACCTACTAGGAAAGATGTGACGCAGATCAATAACACGCCTCAGTAAAACAAAACAACAACAAAAAAATCAAAACAAAACACTATGTAGGTCTTGTTGATCCTAAATGTGTCGCACAGCGTGCAAAACTATTTATAAATCCTGATTACGAAAACATACTTGATAAACGCTTATAGAAAGCTGAATCACCACTGAGGGTTTTATGCAGTAGAAGTTTAAGGAACAAAATACAAAACCGCCGTACAACTGGCGCCTCTTGCATCCGAAAAGTACCGGACAAGGCACAGAGCCTATCAGGGTTCTTATTGTCACGAAAAAGAAATGATGAGGCGGCAAATAACTGAAGGAGCTAAACGTGTAATGGGGCGAACTTGTGCCCAAAACAAAATAGAGAAAGGCTACTGTCGCAGGCATCAAAGTCGGCGAAACAGCAGGATCGAGCGTGGGGCGGAACTGCCTGCGGCTTGCTACAGGGAGCACCTTTTGTAGCCGCGTGGGTCTCTGGAACATTCGGCTTGAATATTCGGCGCGTCGAACATTCGCAACTCGATCAGACAAGAAAGTTCTCAAATTTGCGAGAACGAAAATTAGAAAGAAAAAATAAAAGAACATTCCGCTGCCTGGAATGAAACCCAGATCTTCCGCGCGACGGCCAAGCATGGTAGCCATTTGGTCACGTACGCGCTCGCTCAACAACGCGCGTGGCATTACTCCCCACTTTTCAAAGCGCTTTGCCTCGATACGACATGCCGGGAAACAAAGCAGCAAACAAAACAAAAATAATGGCAAACTACGCAAGCTTGTAAAATACAATCCTATCGAGCGTAGTATACTACGCTCGATCACACTAGCGATCGTAGTGCGCGCTTCAAGCCTCACGGCTTGAGGGGCACGACGCGGACGACTTCCGGTCGTTGAGTGCAGCGTGATGAAGTCTGAGTTCCGTCGGGCATCACTTTATAGTTCGCATCCTCGAATCGACGAAGCACTTTGTAGGGTTCGAAGTAGCGTTTCCAGGAGCTTCTCGCTTAGACCGCGTCGTCATATCGGGGTCCAGACGAACACACGGTCTCCAGACTTGAAGCGAACGTCGATCCGACGAAGGTTGTACCGGGTGGCGTCCACACGTTGTTGGTCTTGGATCCAGAGTCGGGCGAGCTGGCGGACTCCTTAAGTTCGCTGAGCCATTACCTGGGCGTCGTGGCTCCCATTGTCAGCTTGTTCGTGGGACAGCATCGCGTCGAGCATGGTCGTTACTTTTCTGCCATGCACCAGCTGAAACGGTGTTTCTCCTGGGGTCTCTTGCAGTGCTGTGTTGAAAGCAAACGTGACGTAGGGTAACACCTTGTCCCACGTCTTGTGCTCTACGTCGACATACATGGATATCATATCGGCGAAAGTTTTGTTTAGTCATTCCGTTAGTCCATTTGTCTGTGGAAGATACGCAGTGGTTCGACAGTGGGTGGTGCTGCTGAGAGGAAGAATTTCTTGCGCGAGCTGGGGCACGAACGATGATCCACGGTCTGTAATGAGGACCTCGAGGGCGCCGTGCCGAAGGAAAATAGACTCGATGAAAATCTTGGCGACTTAAACAGCAGTCCCGGAAAGAAGGACTTTCGTTTCGGCGTATCGTGTGAGATAATTTGTGGCGACGATTATCCAGAGGTTCTCGATGTTGACGGTTGTTGCCGATGATGACGGCGCCATGTCGTTGGTGTTCACTGCGGCTAAGAAGCACTCGTCGTCATCGTCGTCGCTGCTACTGGGGGATGTCTCGACAGGGGCTCTGGACAGGCAATCGGCGTCGCTGTGCTTACGGCCCGACTTGTAGACCACAGTCATGTTGAACTACTGCAGTTGGAGACTCCATCAAGCGAGACGTCCTGAAGGGCCCTTTAAGTTCGCAAGCCAGCAGAGCAAGTACTGGCCCGTGACAACGCGGAAAGGGCTCCTGTATGTGTGCGGGCGAAACTTTGTGATTGCCAAGACGACCGCAAGACATTCCTTTTCAGTCGTGGAGTATTTTCTCTCTACTTTGGACAGTGTCCGACTTGAGTAGGCGATAGCTTGCTCGGTGCTTTCTTGCACGTGAACCAGTACCGCGCCAAGTCCTTCGTTAGTTTCGTCTGTATGAACCTCGCCTTCCGCATCTTGATCGAAGTGTCCAAGAACAGGAAGAGACTGGAGTCGTTGGTTCAGCTCGTCGAATGCGTACTGCTGTTCTTCGGCCCAATCGAACTTCTCGGCGTCCTTCGTGAGTTTTGTGAGCTTGGCGGAAATTTTTACGAAATCCCGAACGAAGCGTCGATAGTAGGCACAAAGTCCAAATAATCTTCGCAGGGACTTCTTGTCTGTGGGTGCTGGAAACGCCGCGACAGCGCGAGTCTTCTCAGGGTCTGAGCGGACGCCTTCATTACTAACCACGTGACCTAGGAACCTCAGTTCTTCATTGGCAAACCGGCACTTTGACGACTTGAGGGTGAGTCCGGCGGTCTGTATGGCTTGGAGAACAGCTTGGAGTCGTCGCAAGTGCGCGTCGAAGTCACTTGAAAACATTACGACGTCGTCAAGGTAGACGAGACAGCTCTGCCACTTCAGTCCTGCCAGTACGGTGTCCTTGACAAGCTGGAAAGTTGCTGGCGCCATGCATAGTCCGAAAGGCATTACCCTGAACTCGAATAGTCCATCCGGCCTGACAAAAGCTGTCTTCCCTCGGTCCTGTTCGTCGATTTGGATCTTCCAGTAGCCGCTCTTCAGG